CCCCCCCCCCCCCCCAAAAAAAATAAATTAAAGTTACTTATCATTTTAATAAAATATAAATAATATCCCCGTAAAAATTTCTATGATTCTTTTTTTTTTTCTAGATAATTGTTATTACTCCCATTGATTTTTTTTTGGGTCCACCACTTGTAAAATATACTGTATAAAATATGTAAAATTGTCAAGAAAAATGTACCAACTTTAAGTTTAGAAAAACTTTACTCTATGGTATATTTGAATTTGAATTAGCCGATTGATATTCTTATTTCTGCTTGGGCGAAATCACCAAAAAAAAAAATGATATAGTAATATTCAGACACGTGTGATGATGATTTCGTGACCAATTCATTAAAGCGTGTGGAAATTATTAGGTTACAAGTAGTAATAGTAATCTTTTTGTGGATGGGCCGCATCGGTTAGCCCACCAGGCCCACATAGAGCCCAATATTTTACTAATAATGTAATAATTAATTATTTTATTATATGGAAGGCAAAAGTAACGTTATAATTTTGGAAGAGACCGCCAGATCTCATTTCAAATCAATTCAAAATTCCAAAGAAGAGGCTCCTCCTCCTGCCTTTCTCTCTCCTTCAATCCCGATAAGGAAAATCGAAGAACCCTAATTTATCATCCTCGATTGAGAAGAACAGGGTTTGGTTTCTCCGTCAATCCAGCAATCAGTAGGATTAATCCGGAGGAGCCTCTGACAGTAGGTCTGAATTCGAAGCACGCTCCGCTTAGTTGCGATCGAGATTCTGTTTCCATTGACGAGCAGATAGTGAAGGAATCGGTAGGAATCTCGCTTCTCGGAAATGGCACCTCGAAACCAGAACCGACCTCCCCGCAGCCCATCCGTAAGCTTTTTTTTCTTCCCATGTTTTGTGTTGGTTTTATCTTCCATGAAAATCTCGTCTTTCTGTTTGGGTTTTAGAGTTGTCGTTTAGGATTTAGTGTGAGAAAACTTGAGGCGAACGATTTGGCTGCAAAATTCAAAGAGAAATCTGGGTCTATTTTGTTTGATTGGACATTGGAGTCACCGAAATTATTAAGGTCTTTCCCACAAGTGCCTCTGAACTTAGTTGCTGAGTGATATGCTGTTCACAAAATTCATAATGATAATGGATTAGTGGGTTCCTGTGATTCGCTTTGATTGTTGTCGTAGAAGGGAAAACGGTCTCAATTCACTGAATTCAAAACTGATTTATTGTTTTCCAAATATTCGCAGAAAAAAGAGGGTATTTCGAGCATCCCCTTTGACAAACGCAGGAAATTGGAAATGCAAGGTACCAGTAGAAGACAGGTGCTTTCTACGGTGAATAGACAAGATGCCGCAGCGAACAGTGATCTTGGCACTGCTGAGGACTGTGGTAAAGTGGAGTTTACAAAAGATGAGGTGGTGGCACTGCTGAATGAGAGACCGAAAGCCAGCAAGTTCGATTCGAAGGTCTGTTAAGTGTTAACTGAGTTTTGCTTGCTTTATTGGTGTACATTTGAAGCTTTCCTGTTTGGCTTTTCACTAAATCAGATTTTTGCCGCAGGCTAAGATTGAACAAATGACTGATATTATCAAGAGGCTGAAGATTTGTGTCAAATGGTTCCAACAAGTAGATGAAACCCATGTCCAGGAGAAGGAAAATCTTCGAAATTCTCTGGAATCTGCGGAAAAAAGAAGCAGCGATAGAGGTCATCTCTTGCAAGCCATGTTCATATGACAAATAGCTGGCAGTAAGATGGTTATTGGTTCTGAATTTCAATTATTTACAGAGTTGGAGATGAAGGCCAAAGAAGAGGAGCTACATGCAACTATATCACAATTGAATGAGAACAACATGTCACTACACGAGAAACTGTCAAAGGAGGAATCAGATAAGCTGGTATGCTACTACTATAGGAGCTCGGATTTTCTTGTTTGTGTAGCTGATATTTTCTCCATTGTCTTTTGTTCGGAGTGGTTTACACTTTTTGAGGGTTCTTGTTGTTTTGGTGACTAGGATGTGATTGAAAGTCACAAGAGAGAGAAGGAATTTAGAGTTGCAGCTGAGAAGCAGCAGGCTTCTCTAGAAGAAGAGCTTGCAAAAGTCAAGCAAGAAAAACATTCTGCCAAGGAGACGGTATGGTAAACTTGTTCTCTGTTGTCTTTTAGACATCTGTATAAGCTTTTACTCTCATCATCATCATCATCATCATCCCTACATAATCTGTTAATTTTCATGGATTGGATTTTTTAGGCGAAGGCCCTAGAAGATAACTATAAAAGGTTGCAAGAATACAACACAAGTCTGCAACAATATAATAGTAAACTTCAGACTGATCTTGAGACAGTTCGTGAGACACTCAACCGTGCTGAAAAAGAGAAGTCAAGTGTTGTGGAGAACCTTGGCACACTAAGGAGTCACAGTAAATCGTTGCAGGATCAACTAGTATCAATTCGAGTACGTATCAATTGTTCTATTACAGATCTTTTTGATGTCTGCCTGCTTTATTGCTTAAATCTTACTTTAATTTCTTTTTTCCTTCATTGCTGTGATCTAGGCTTCGGAAAAAGATGCTGTAAAACAAAAAGAATTATTGATTACGGAAGTCAGTAACCTTCGAAATGAGCTCCAACAAGTTAGAGATGACCGTGAACGGCAAGCTGTGCAGTTGCAAAAGATGACAGACGAGATTGCGTTGTATAAGGAGAGTGTTGGAAAATCATCTCAAGAGTTGGACATCTTGATAATGAAATCGGGATCCATGGAGGTTAGTTGAATGTAGCATTTTCAGATTTATCCTTGCTTACTCTCAACTTTCTGACACTCCAAGTTATACACTGCAGGAAACTTGTAAATTACAAAAGGAGCGTATAAAAATGTTGGAGCAAGAATTAGCTTTTGCCAATGAGAAACAAAAGGTAAACACGCCATTGACTTGACTTTGGTTGCTATAAAGTGCTCCAACTGCAGTTGCTGACTTATTTTGCTTAATTCAGTTGCTGAATCTAGATCTCTATTTCTTATTTCAGTTGGCAGATGTATCAATATCTCTTACTAGGACGGAATATGAGGAGCAAAAACAGCATATGAGTGAATTGCAAGACCGCCTTGCAGACATGGAACATCAACTTTGCGAGGGCGAGTTATTACGAAAAAAGCTTCACAATACTATTCTGGTAATAAAACTTGTTTTGCTGAGTCTATGCATGTTGAGATATATGAAGAATATTATGAGATTATATCATATCATAAAGATCTTTTCAAATCTGGAAAATAGAGATTTTGAGAGATTTATGAATATTTGATGTATTCTCTACTTTATTTATTTAATTTGAGACTCTCATGTATTTGTAGTTCATTTGATTATTAATAAAAGATCACATCATTCCGCAAATTTCTACAATGCAAACCTATGATTGTCTTTTGATGTCTAATAACTATCATTTCAAACAGGAACTAAAAGGAAATATACGTGTGTTCTGTCGAGTGCGTCCCTTGCTACCAGACGATGTAGGGCAAGAAGTCAATGTCATAGCTTATCCTACTTCAACAGAATCTCGTGGACGAGGCATTGATCTGATCCAAAGTGGTAAAAACTTTTGTCTGACTTGAGCTACTGCATTCAGTTTGTATGGGTTTGTGATCTGAGTGTTTGTGCCCTCTGAAAAGAATTATACTTGTACTTAATTGCATATCATGTTTCCTGCCTTACAGTCTTTCTACTGTGCCCACAGGAAACAGACATCCTTTCACGTTTGACAAAGTATTCAACCATGAAGCTTCTCAAGAAGAAGTATTTTTTGAAATATCTCAACTCGTGCAAAGCGCATTGGATGGCTACAAGGTTTTGTTTTTTATTCCCTCTGTTTGGATGCCTGTTTGGGAGGTGCAATTTTACTGATTTGCTTAGGTGGTTGCTTTTAACTTAGCTTCAAGGTGAAGATACCTTTAATGTTTCATCAAATGTTTTACAGACACCTTGAGTCATGTTCACCTCGTGTCTGCTAGATTGATTGTTCTCAGTGTTTACATGGACTATTGCATCTACGCTTGGATAGACATGGTTGCATTGGTTTTAATTACCTTTTGAAGAAGTTTTGTAACTCTAGTATGTATTCTGACAGCGTCTTTTGTGTGTGTGTGTATATGTGTTTTTTTTTTTCTGTTTTTTCTTCTTTCTTTGTGGATGCAGGTTTGTATCTTTGCTTACGGTCAGACGGGGTCCGGGAAAACCTACACCATGATGGGCAGGCCTGAGATGCCAGAACAGAAAGGACTGATTCCTCGATCTCTCGAGCAAATATTCCAAGCCAGTCAATCACTTAAGGCACAAGGCTGGAAGTACAAGATGCAGGTCAACATTTCAGTCCATAATGTTTCCATTGAGTTACCTTTTTCTAATTCCTTATCTTTCACCAAGAAAACATTCTAGCCTAAAATTTTCTGGTGTTTTTTCTTCTAGGCTTCAATGTTGGAGATTTACAACGAGACCATAAGAGACTTGCTTTCTACAAACCGAACACTTACCACAGACTCGACACGAGCAGAGAACAGTGTTGCTGGACGACAATATACGATCACACATGATTCTAATGGTAACACACATGTCAGCGATTTAACTGTTGTGGATGTCTGCAGCATTGGGCAGGTTTCTTCGCTCTTGCAACAGGCTGCTCAGAGCAGGTTTGTTTTTAAAACTCCATGATTTCTGTTCTGCTTTCTGTGTATCCTGCGTCTCGGTAGTAATGCATTAGCAGAAGCTGTATGGATAAAATTTTCACCGCTTTCAGGTGATTGACAAGGTAGTCCTTTGGTTTGAAGCAAATTACTTGGCATATTGCATTTCAGTTTTCTGATAAGAAAGGCATGGTTTCTGAGAGAATCCTAAACTTGCTGTTTCCGTGTGCGTTTATGATTGGTTATTCTTGACTGCATTATCTTAAACTCACATCTTTCTGTTTGGATTGACTGCTGGAATTACTGAGCTGAAATATTTTTATGCAGGTCTGTGGGTAAAACCAATATGAATGAACAATCATCGAGGAGTCATTTTGTGTTCACTCTGCGGATTTCTGGGGTGAACGAGGTAATAATATCTATGCCATCTGGAGTTAATTCACGTCATCTTAACTCTCTTACGACTTGAAGATTCTTAGTATGTATACCGTTATTGTTGTCTTGCAGAGTACTGAACAACAGGTGCAAGGGGTTCTCAACTTAATCGATCTTGCCGGAAGTGAGAGGCTATCGAGAAGTGGAGCAACCGGAGATCGGCTAAAGGAGACACAGGTATTGGTTTTAAAGTGTATCCTCTTGTAAGCCATTCCCTCTGTTCTTTATAGTTTATACATATCCCCATTAATTTTCTATCTGCATGATCAGGCTATCAATAAAAGCTTGTCGGCTTTGAGTGATGTTATCTTTGCCTTGGCTAAGAAAGAGGATCATGTTCCGTTCAGAAATTCGAAGTTGACATATCTTCTCCAGGTTTGTGTTTTGTTCCGTCATAGAGTTTATAGACTCCAGAATAAGTATCGTGATGAACTTTCTGAATTGTAATCCTAACTAAATTGTATCAATGAACAGCCTTGTTTAGGCGGTGATTCGAAAACTTTAATGTTTGTCAACATAGCTCCGGATCCGTCTTCGACCGGAGAGTCTCTCTGCTCGCTCCGATTCGCAGCACGAGTGAATGCTTGCGAGATTGGAATACCCAGAAGGCAAACGTCAATGAAACTCATCGACTCTCGCCTAAGTTACGGTTAAAATCGCTTGTTCTGCCATATTTTCATCTGTATAACCAATTACTAGTTCGAGGTTCTTCTAGTGTGGGTGGTAATCTGTATTTTTCCGATTGAGGTTTTGTACCGAGATTTGTTCAGGGAGCAGTGGAGCAACTTGCTCTCTTTGCAAAAATGTCATCTACTGGATATTTCTTGTTGAACACTGCCTTAAATGTGTAATGTATTCTTTTTCTGACATGTTTATGTGTCTTGAAGAACAGGACATAACAGCTGTTTCATTAAGAGGCTTAGCCATAGGCACATTATCACACTAGACGATTGTCGTCTTGCATAGATTGAATCTTGTTTCTCTGAATTCTCTTCTGATTACTTGGCGTCGGATTGGGTTAACGCCGAAAACGGCAAGAACGATGAATCGGCTACTCATGTTGTCTGAAAAACTTCAACTTCTGTTGCTTCTGATGAGTGATGACCCTTTTAAAACTTGGACCAAGCAATGTACTTATACTGAATGTTTCAAGAAGAATTGGTGGGACATCAAGTTGCGTTCGAGTTCGAAGTTTACAAGTTGTGTCATTGACTTTGAACTAAACAAAAATCCAGACAGTGTAAATTCCTTCGCTTTTCCATGTGATCTTGCCAACATCCTGAGGAAAGAAGAGTTCAAGAAGAATCTGCAAAGGTTCCATTGGTTTATGTTGATAGATACATGGTGACACATGTATGCTGGTATATAACAGAATATCTGATACATTCTATGAAAAATTTAAAAGATTAGATAGTTACACACATAGCAATAACGGATATCACAAGATCAAACCAACCAAAGTCTCAATGTTTTACAGAAACTGATGAATCCTTGCTCGGACAGAACTCACAGATTTACTGACCGATCTAACGAGGATGAAGAGCAGTTATGGATGAATCATCAACTGACCAAGGCATAGACTTGCTCGTAGATTTCTCCGACCCCGATTCTCTAGATTGCTGATCAGATTCATTTGTTCTTCGGATCGAAAACCCCGGTTGTTGTGGAACCGGTAGAGTAACAGTGAAGCTATTCAACATGATAAGAATGTTTTCCATCGTAGGCCTGTCTGAAAGATCGTCTTGAACACATAACAGACCGATATGGATGCATCTGATCACTTCGTTCGTCTGATAATCCCGTCCCATCGATGGATCCACGAGTTCTAGCGGCGAATTATCGCCCCAGAGCCTCCAGGCCTGTGTTAATCCGATGAAAAGATCTTGATTTTGCCCTTTTACCTAATGTTTTAAAGGCTGAAAATTTTTGTGTTCATACTCACATACGAGACCAAGTCTGCATTTCCATCTCTTTCGTAGAAGCTGCTGTTCTTTTTGCCGCTTATGATTTCTAGAATCAAGACTCCGAAGCTGTATATATCAGATTTTACAGAGTAATGGCCGTGTATTGCGTACTCTGGAGACATGTAACCGCTGGAAACAGAACAACTCTGTGTTAAATTATTGAGATTTTTTGTCGGGTTTTAGAGACTGCTATGAACAGACTTACTATGTTCCAACTATCCTGCCAGTGTTGGCTTGTGTCTGATCAATTCCGAAAATCCTTGCCATCCCAAAATCCGAGATCTTCGGGTTGAAATCCGCATCTAAAAGAATGTTGCTCACTTTGAGATCACGGTGAATGATCATGAGCCTTGAATCTCGATGAAGATAAAGAACTCCTCGAGCAATCCCTTCGATGATCTTGTATCTTCTCCGCCAGTCCAGATATCTTCTCTTTTCCGGGTCTGTAAAGTTTGAACCTTTTTGAACAGATTGATGCGTGTTCAAGATTCTTGAAATGGGTCGGGGAAAATTAAATCATACCGAATAGGAAATAGTCGAGGCTTTTGTTCGCAATGAACTCATAGATGAGTATCTTCTCTTCGCCTTCCAAGCAATAACCGAGTAGCCTTGCAAGATTTCTGTGTTGGAGCTTCGCGACCAAGACAACCTCGTTCTTGAACTCTCGAGCTCCTTGTGTTGATCCTCGAGACAGTCTCTTTACTGCAATTTCTTGTCCACTCGGAAGCCGACCCTGATGGTAAATACAACATTAAACAAACAGCATTTCAGACCATGATTTTGTTAATATGTTACTGTCTCCAGCCGTGGAAGAGTTGCAGAACACAAACCATGAAGACTTCACCGAATCCACCATGACCAAGTTTGTTACTGTCTGAAAACTTATTTGTGGCTGCTTCAATAGTTCTAAACTGAAACTGCAGCGATTCTGCTGTGGAAATATCGTCTCCATCTACACCAAAAAGCGATACCATTTGATTTGGATCTTTAACAGAAACAAGTTTTCTTGTATCAGTTTCCAACGACGAAATCGGCTCAATATTTTACCCTTTTTTTCTGGTTCAGATCTCAACTGCATCTTGCTTCTTCTTCTTCTTCTTGCTAGTAGGCAATATGCACCAATCAGAAGCAGCAGAGATACAGAAACCGGCACAACTATGGCGATCACTGTCACGGCAGAGCTTTTGCTTTTCCCTGAACATCGTTTTCAGACACAGTTTCAGCCCATTTACCAGAAACATGAACTAAAGATGGCAGAAGCTGAAGAACTGAAATCCTTAAGCTCATCAAGAAAACTATCTTCAGCACAACATTGCAAAGTATAAACTCTGGAAAAATCATAAATTTGACGATTTCTGAAAATGGGCACCACAAAAAACTTGTATTTTTTTATGACGGTGGAACCCTCACAACCCTCCGGTCGTGGTGATAAACCTCGGGTTCCACGCAATAGCCTGCAAACCACGTCGAGCAGGTAAACCAACCGAAACTGACAGACTCAGGCGAGGCTCATGTTGAGCAGGGTCGAACTCACAACCTTGAGTTAGGTTGCAAGCGCTCACCAACCGAGCTGGGGATTTCCCCGCAAAAAACTTGTATTGTATCAATCAAACAATAAGAAAAAACTCAATCTTTTTTTTCTGGAAATGTTATAAAGTTTCTGGACTTACTTTCTGAAGACCCAGAGGAAATATTTGGCGGTGGAGCAGGTACTGTTGGTGGAGGAGCCATCACGATGGTTTCGTTGTAAAACGGGTAAAGCTCATACCTTATGTTACAGCTCGAAGCCATTACTCGACCACCTATACGTCTGTCACAACAATCCGGTAGCAGATTAATCGCTTGTCTGAGACAACTCTCACAGTCCAGTCTGGTTAGATCTGGTGTGCATTGAACAAGACTGTAAATTGTCTGAAACACTGTGAAATTTGCTTTCTTTGTCGCAAACTTTCTTGGACTCGAAGCCGCCATCGATGCAGCATCGATCATCAAAGAAGCCAGAGATTGACTAAACTCGTTGACCTGATTCTCCGTTATGTTTTGTCTGTTCCACAAGTAAGCTGCTGGTCCGAATCTCATGGTACCCACGATGCTTTGGTTAGAGTACCTAAGCATGCACTCATCGTACCAGATAACGGTCTCTTTCTCGACAGGGCACTTCTGTAACGTGTCGTTGACCGCAAAGACAACGCAGTCGCGGCAAACATCGGCCGAAACGTCGCCGCGGCAGAGGAAGATACCGTAGGCCGTGTCAGGGGTTTGACCAGCGGTTGCGTTTGCGAAAGCGGTCTCGTAACTCGCGTTTGGGGACGAGAGCGACGAGAGAACGGTTCGGAGATTGGAGAAGTAAGTGCTGTTTCTGGTGAAAGTCGTCGTGTTCGGACATGTGTGGTATAGGTAAGTTGGATCAGCAGCTTCCGCGTTGAAGCTCATAAGGAACAGAGCAGAGATTAGAGAAAATGTTATCTTGAAGACAGAGGATCTGAACAGAGACATGTTCTTGTTCTTGAGCTCCTCTGTTTTCTTCCTTGAATTGAGAGATCGTTGCAAAATAAAGACGACCCAAGTTTCTTGATTCGACCAATGATCGGCAGAATTTGGTCAAAGTCAATTTAAATGCGATTATACAATCTGGGGTTTTTTCGTAATTATGATTATACTAATCCAATTGACTAATTGTTCTTCAACTATTCGTCAGTTCATCCGAGACTTTGTCAGACAATATTTTCTGTCAGAGATCAGACCAAGTATTCATATGTGATATAAATCACAAGATTTGACATTCACTTCGATTAATCACATAAGATTTGGTCAACGCTTTTGGGAATCTTCGGATTTCAGGCAAGAAGCATGTCGTTGTCCATATACATGAACGGCAATATAATTTTTAACAGAACGTCAAACTTTGACCGGTCAAATCATCAAACCTTAACCCTGAGTTTAGCACAGAAAGATCAAGATCAAGAACCACTCCATATCAATCAGATCAAGAAACAGCAACAAAATCAAAACCTAAAGATCGACCAGAGACATGAACCAAGAAACACAAACCTTATTACACAGATCAAGAAACAGACAACAAATCAAGTGAAGTACACTGGACAACGTTGGTGATTGAACTTAGGCAAGATCACGCCGTCAGGACCAACGACGATGTTACAGTTTGCATGCATGCGATGGCGCTTGCTGATCCAGCTGCTAAGCTTGAACCTTATCACAGAAACCATCTCCAATCTGAAAGCGACTGAGCCTTGAGCTCGGTCATTGGTGAACTCAGTCCAACGAGTGCTACTCACCGTGAGTGAAGCTCCAGCGAGTGACTGAGTCACGACGGTCGTGTTCTTCGGCTCCTGGAAGAACGGATAAAGCAACGGGCTTGACCCGACACGTTGATCCTTGTAGTAAACGGACCCTTCCATGGAATCATAGTACACGCCCATGTGCTGGTTCGAGTTACGTATGGTGACGTTGAACGTTATCTGGGTGTTTTCGAATCCTGCAGGTTGGTCCAGGCCCTGAATTGCGAAATCCTGGATATGGAATCGAGGTCGATGAGGGCGTAAACTGATCCATAATATGAACGCGATTATTCCCAGAAAGAACAGAATCAACAGAAATATGGCGCAGATGAATTTCGAGACTCGGGTTGTGAGGCTCTCCTTGACTCGGTGAGCGTAGTAACTCGCCGAGCGATGGCGTTTCACGGATCGAGTTTCCGGGTCGGACCGGATGGTAGCAGCGCCAGAAATCGCACGAGACCTCTGCCCATCACTGCATTGGAAAATTCAGGCAGATACCTCGTCAGATCCTACAAACGTCTTACGCATCTACGTGCACATTCCGAAAATAAGATCGAAAGTAAAAGGCTTTCACAGATCGGAAATGTATCCGTACAAGGAAGATGAAGAAGATCGACGTTCAGCGAATCTCGGCAGTCAAAGGAGAGTCTGAGGAGTGTGAACGATCTGTGGCTTGACGGAGGAAGAAGAACCAGAAGGCTATAAAAATGGAACGAAATATATGTTTTATGACAAAATTGCCCTCGATATGCTAAACGACGTCGTTTTGATCCATCAGAAAACAAAAACAATGGTAAATAAAAATTGAGCATTTGATTACAATGGTAAATAGTTTTTTTGCCTCCTTTCTCGCATCAGCCTTGCTGGTGATTTTCCGGGAATGAAGTTCAGGGTTTATATATTTAGCCATTAAAGAAGCTGCGATGCGATAAAGTGGGAGGGTTCTTGGACTGCATGGAGAAGAAAGGAATATGAAAAGGTTGTGAAAGAACTAACTGTGTTGTGACGTAAAGTGATCAAATCCTGTTATATATGCATTAATATATATCTGTATATATATATATATATTAATATACGTGTGTATGTATGTATGTATCTGTAGGAATATGGTATAAAGTTCTTGTTGAAGCTTGAAGATGTGCTTGATGGAATCTTGCAAGGATAAAGATTTGAATATGGCATAGGGAAAAACATTGATTACTGATGTTCTCGTTCGGTCGCTTGCAATACTTCTTAAATGGCTAATTTGTATTAAATTTATGGAATTTAATTGATAATTTGGATGCTTAATTATATATATATACACATATGTGTATATATCATATATTCACGGATTACATGCGATGTGAGAGATGCACATCCAACGTCAAGTCACATAAAGGAACAACAGACAAAGATTGTGAAACTTTCTATATTCGATCACTTCTGTCTTTTTTTATTTGAGATATAAAAAGGAAATAAACTAAAGTTAGCCAAGGATGAGAAGTATAAGCTCTTTAAATAGAATGAATTGAACAATTTTCAATATATTTTTGGGACAATTTTGGATATTTGTTTCATGTTTATAGCATATTTATATGTGACAGACTTTTAAAATTTGCGGTATTAATCGTTGTTCTGATTTTAAAAGCACAAAAAAAAAAAATTACAGCTTCTCTCCTGTAAGTTGGACATATAGATAATACCATATCATGGGTTTATAATTAAAGTTTAATCCAACAATATATAATTGTATTTGATTAAATAAAGTAACTAAAATCTAAATTCCAATAAAAAATAAATGAAAACGATCTTTTTAGAGTGAATATTGTTTTATAAAACTCAACTTTAAATCGAATTATAGAATTTGATTCAAATCAAATACTTAAAAAAATAGTTACCGGTTTTATTACAACAAAAAGTAAGGAAAAAATTACGAATAGAAAAATAAACAAAACGTATAAATGTATATTATATATATATATATAGAGAGAGAATGAGATTAATTATTATTATTTTTCGTTGGCGACCTATAATTTATTAATCATTTTATTGTGCATCTTCGGTTGCCCATCATGCGTGCCAAGTTGCAAGTTGCGACATATAGTAAATTAATATTAGAATATAAATATTACCACGTACAGTTTTATTTTATATTTAAGGAGACCATAATTTCCAAAAAATAAAATAAAATTTTTATTTTGTCATATGATATATGTATGAATGGCCAAATAACCAATTGCTCAGCATGTTCGCAATGTTTAAATATTCTTCACTGAATTAAAACATATCTATCCTCCCTAATATCTTCCACATCCAAACAAAATTCATTTAAACATCCAAAGAGTTACAACGTAAACGACTTATTATAATCCATCATTAAAAAAAACTATACTCGAAATTTTTTAAATTTTAATATCAGCTTTAATAATTTTTGTTATATAAAATCTAGAAATTTGATATACCTAATTTTGTATTATATATATATATATATATATATATGATTTTGCAAATATTCGAGACAGGTTTATATACGGTATTCATTATCCATGTTGATTACAAGTTGGAACAAACAAACTACTAGCAATTAAATAAATCGAATAAATACATCTGTTTCTAACAAAATTATAAAGAATAAATACAATCATTAGTGCATCTGAAAGAATGTCACGGTCCAAAAAAACACTTTGGGTTCCCTAAACATATATTTTTTTTCATTATCTTACTCATTGTTCTTATTGCGAACATGGCCCGACTAAAAAAGAAATCATTATTCTCATAATTATTTCTAATAATATTAATTATCATTTTTCTAAATTGTCCTATCTCCAGCCACATCGCTCGTTTGCACCGTTGGCCACTGTCATACGCAATTAGCTATTTTTTAAAATCACGAAACTTTACTATATAAATTTACAATTTTGTTTTCTACCCTAAGAGAATATAATTTTACTGAAAAATTATTAACATTAAAAATGCTGATTGTCGCAATTCGATGACATGCTAAATGGTCTTTAGATTTGTTATTGATGGTGAGGGGTCCACATTTTCAGTTTTTGACTATATTTTGTGTAGAATATTTTTTGGTTTGATTTTTGAAATTTATAATATATATATATATGCATAAATGATCGAGTTTCTATTTAAATTTGAATTTTGTTAAATATGATTTTTTTTAGAAAAAACTATTTTCATTACTTACTTTTATTATATTTCAAATTAAATTTGATTAATTTATTTTTAGAAAATTACAAATATATTTGATTTTTTATATCATCATTTTCCATCTTTCCTGTTTTGAGACACATTTGTGAGGTCCATTTGAATAATGTTTAGATAGTTGTACAAATTCGAGATTACAGGATGAATAATTTGTAGTTGACCAAGGGTTTATATAAATTAGGTCAAATAGACAAGTTGATGAAGAATTAATTCTACCGTTGTGACTTTCAATTTTATAATCAACATGAATAATAGCGGCAATATAAGTTTTTTAAAAAATTTGAGGAATGAAAATCCAACAACAATATTCCGGAAAATAAAACAATTCTCCTCTGAAGTCAAATTAGCTAATTTTGGTAAATTTTAGGAATACCAACAAATTCAGAAGAAAAAAAAATAATCTCCCATTTATTACAATTCAAGTTAAATGGATCCTTCGAATGATGACTAAATAATTAAATATAATATAAGATAATATGATAGCATTAAGATATATTATCAAAAAAAGCCAAATCCATGAAGAGAGAGAAAGGGGAAATCAATACATTATCTCTCTCTAGAAACACCCACCAGCCCATTTTCAAGAGACAGCCACATATATATACAAACCAACCAAACAGCCTCCCCTCCTCCCCCATCTTCATCTTCTTCACCTCCTTCTTCTTCTTCTTGACACAGACCATAACGAAACAGAGCTCTGTTTTGTCTGAATCCACTCACTTCTCTTCCATCGTCAAAAGGTAAACTGAACTAAAAGCTTTGCCCTTTCCTGTTCATTGCTGAAGAAAAGAGACAGAAAGAGAGATGGATTAGTCAGAGAATTAACCATTATTTTATTTCTTTTTTAAATATTGAAATTATCTTTTTGACCTTTGAGGCTATCGCTTGGTGACACCGTACGAGGGCTTATTTCATTTTCTTTTCAGATCATTTGTTACTGTTCCATCGCCATCTCTCTCTCTCTCTCTCTCTGGTGTCGAAGATGGAGACGAATGGGGGGAGAAGTCCGAACCCGGATCGAGAAAACGGGTTCGGGTACAAAAAATCCGAGAAACCGGAGGAGTTCGTGATGATCGATGTCGAAAGCTTCGCTTCTGTTCTCCATAAAGACATATCCTCCAGTCCCAGATTCTCTGTAGGTCTTGTCTTCTCTTTTCCCTCTTTTTTTTAAAAAAAAAAATAGAAAAAAACTTTGAATTTGAAGGAATCCATAAAAGACAATCACTACTTTTGAAAAAAAAAAGCATTTTATTATCTGAATTATCCCCCCAAAAAAAATCACATCTTTTCACAAAAAAAAAAACTGAGGTTTTTGAATATCAATACCAATTCTTTCATCACACGCGCGAAAAAAAAATCTATTCTTTGAGAAAGTTTTTTTTTTAATTGGGTTTTCCATCTTTCTGGGAATTTAGTTTGTGAAAATAATGGAGGAATTGCCCATTTCTTCATAGTTTATCAAGCTTGGGTTTTTTTTTGTCTGAATCCTGATTTTTTTGGGGGCTTTATCTTCTTAGAAGGAACTGAAGAAGTTGACTTCACGTGTCAGTTTTAATTGGGGACCAATTATATCATTTTATATATATAAAAAAAATACACAAAGGAATGAATAATCAAGGAGTCAAGTTCTCAATTTATCATATTATGTTGTCTGCATTTATTTCTCTGATTATTAATTTGATCATTTTATTTAATTGCTATATATATATATATTATATGAAAAAAAAAAGATGCAGAGAAATGTTTCGAGGAAATTCTCAGGACGAAGCAGCAGCAACGACAGGAAACTCCATTACGACGCAAATGGCAATGGCAAGGATTCCTCGACTCCTCAGTCCCCTCTCAGAGGTATTCCCCCTTTTTCTTTTTTCTCTTTTTTTCATCGTGATAAATAGCCAATAAATTAACCCATGCAATATTGGTAATAGTTCGTAATCGTTTTTTACAATCACGAGAAATGTAAATCAATGTATCCAACGGTCTATATAATTGCAAATAAAAAGAGAGAGATTTCTAACGAATCTTAGTGCGGTACAAAATTACGGTTGACCCGAGTGGGGTATATATGAAATTTGTTGGTACGTGAAGTTTTTACATCAACTATCACTACGAAACGATTCTTCGTATAAATCCATTTTGTCCCATCTGTTGATTTCCCCACACGTTTGTGACAACTTTAAGTGTTTGTCCCAACTTCTTCCTAATCAGACAGCCTCTAAAAATCGTCTTTGTCTTATCGTTTGATATTATTTTTTTATTTTACTGAAAATTTACAGTCCAATAGGTCATTTGTATTTCATAATTTATTGGATTTTTTTGGGAAATGTATGTAAATATTCTTTTTTTTTAATGAGAATGGGAATATAGAAATAGGTTATAAAATCTGGTTATTCTTTTGTAAGGTTATATTGCTAAATCTTACTTAAAAGTTAATTACTTTTTTTTTTAAACCACGAGATGATGTTTGTCTCCATGAAGTTGTGATTTTTATAAGCCTCGTTGGTCAAGGTTTACTAGGTGAGAGTAAACCATGAAACTTAGGTTTCTTGAAAATGAAATTTCACCAAATCAATTCATTTGATATATATACAGAGAAAATATTTTAAAGCATGAGCAAATTCATCCTCTTCATTTATCGATTTTCGGGAAATTCTAGCTCGAAATTATCAGTTTTTAATACCATTATAAAAATTCCGATGTATTATCAAAAAATATGGAGAGAATATTCCTTATTTATTTGTTATAACATCCCTATGTCGAATTAACCTCTTCCAACGAAATGCATGCATTTGAAAATACTGATTTATTTCATGTATTTCTGTCCATTAAATTCAATATTTGAGTGTGTATATATATAGATATATATACTTAGCGTCACATGCCTTAGCAGACCATTCATTTTGTTCCGCCAACCTTTTTTCTTTATGGCCGCATGCTCCTTTGCGCACAACTATAAAATACTTTATGATATAATTTTTTTTTCCGAATAAAGAAAAAATAATTATTGTGGTTTTCGTAAGCGGAATGAGATTGTGTATGTGGGCATATTCTCAAGAGGTGTGTTAAATTCTCAGGTTCGGGCACGCCGGAAAAGTCGACCGCCGCCGTGGGAGCTCCTGTGGACCCCACCGATCTCTCCGTCGCCGCCACTGCCGAGTCCGTGGCCGGGTCGCCGCTTCATCAGATCACCATAACCGCCGGAAACCTTTCCGACCAAACCGAGAGAAGATTCGGTTACTCGAAGAAGACAAGTTTCAAGCGTTCTTGGATTCTAGACCCAAAGAAAGTTGTCCTCTTCTTCGCGACATTGTGAGTCCTTTTCTCTTCCCATTATTTTCTATCTATAATACTATCATTATACTATAACAAAATATTATTTTTTTTGAATTTTGAGGCAACCATTTATTTATACATCTCCATTACTACAGTTGCGAGATGCGTTTTTTTGAATTGGATGATGTGTTTGGGCAGGTCAAGCATGGGATCGATCTTGCTCATCATATTCACTCTATCGATGAGGAAGTCTAGTCCTGAAGATATATTACCCTAGACTAAATGTTAATAATAGCTTGAGGGACACATATATGGACCGACCTAAGCCCTTGGGCATGGGAATTCCCTCGGTACCACCAGCCATATATATATATATATACATATATGCTTTGGAGGCCATGAAGAATCAGAGAAAAGCAACAAAAGGGTGTCGATGTGACATTAGTTTTTTTTGTAAAATATTCGAGATTTAAGAGAGAGAGAGAGAGAGAGAGAGAGAGAGAGAGAGAGAGAGAGCGAGGG